ACAATATTTTGGGGGAACACAACACCACCACAAGCCTGGCTCTCTGTTTACTACTGAACCCCTCAAGAACCTCTGTGACTCAGTCTTCTGAGGATACGGCTGCTTGCCCCAAACCCTCAGCCTGGGAAGGTATGGATGGTAGAGAAGCCAGACAACACGGCAAAGCCACAAGGCTTTGCCAGTTATGACCCTCCTGGACAAGACCACTATCATGAATGAAACTCGTGAGTTTCAACCTGGAAGGGCTCCTGGGGTCTTCGAGCCAGGAGCTGTTACACTGATGTTCCCGTTCACAGCTCCCTTTCCAAGTCCAAGGAGTTCTCAGACTGTCCAGTCCCACCACTAGGGGTCCTTTGCTCCCCAGTGTGCCAACAACGGCATGGACAGAACCAGCTGTAGGCCAAAGGACTTAGGAGCTAGATGATGAAGCCACAAATCCCTTTTCTTGACTTAGGTCCCTGCAGCCTCCTTGTAGTAAGAGCTCTGCCCTCAAGAGGGCGACAGCTTCCTTGAGAATCCTTCCTCTGGCTTCTGAGACCTGGAGGAGGGTCTCTCCAGATGTGTCAGAGGGTGGCCCTGAGGCCCGGGTCACTGTATCTCTTGGGATTTTGTTCCAGGTGTGGGCTATCTGATAGAGCTGGGCCCACAGTTCTAGCCACGCAGCCTGTTCCTCACTTCCTGGCATGTGCCTGCTCCGGTCCCCCTGTAGCATCATGGGAGCCGTTCTTCCTCCACAGCCCTGACCCCGTTCTTACCGACAAGGAATGAGAGAGAAGACTGGGACTGAGGGTTGAGCCCAGCTTCTGGGCTTCCTTTGTGCAATGACCTGAGCTGTTCTTTTGTCAGTTGTCATTGGATGGACACGGCAATGTGACAGGCCCTCAGGAGGGGCTGGATCCCAGGATCAGTAGTCTGGTGTTCAAGCCATCCACAGGGAGCTGACACTCTGGCAGAGTCCAAGACAATCAGGAAGACAAAGGTGCTGAGGTAAGTCCACATGAAAACAGGTAAACAGAGTCACGGACCTCAGAGGGTCCATGAAAGTACAGGGAGTTGGAGGAGACTGACTTGTGTGAAGGTCACAGCTGCGCAGAGCCTGGGAGGAAAGAAGGGATGAGAAGAGGGACTTGAGAGCAGCCCTGTGGCACGCTCCAGCCTGGATGATTAGCCATGTCTTCTGGTAATAATACATTGTTAATGTGTGGGCGCCATGGGCCCTGACCCCCAACTGTGAGTGGCTGTAGCCTTGCTTGCTGACCAGGTGTCCTTCCTATTCAGATTCCCTGCCGGTGTCCTTCTCACCTTAGGATCATCGGAGAGCTTACCGGAGCTTACCGGAGGTTCTTTGTTCCTACATCCTGCTTGTGGTGTAAACAACTTAGGTGC